TTTTATATTTTTTTAATCGTTTAATATGGTTTGGGATAACTCGATAATTCGACCGCGCCTTACATCGCTTTTTTCCGGACTTGTCGCTGTAGGGACTTTTAGTTTTAAAAACCACGTAAGTGACGGAACCTCTCGAGCGCTGAAGATGCTGCATCCTGTAGAAATTTCGGGTTCATGAGCGCCGAGTTTTCGAGAAAATTGGAAAAGAGCGGGATCGAATTAATGATTTGACCTGGAAAATTGTTGTTTTTGTGCCTGCTTCGACGAGCGGATAATTGTATAATTTTGATACTCCTTGATTAACTTCAAAAAGACAGGGTCGTGTTCATAGTCGCTCAAGGGAACCAGCGTGGCATCACTAATAAAGGGTCGATTTTTGCCAACCTCGAGTAAAATTTAGCAGTATAACCTAGGGAATGGACTATTGGTGGGGATTACAAAGTTTTGCCTCTTCAAAAAGTACAATGTATGGAAGACAAATTAAATAGTTTCCACAAACTTTGAAATAAATGCGAACCTAACTTTAAGTTTGCAAAACTCACAATGTATTTTCTCCCAATTTTCTAATTTTTTGTAGTGGCCAATCATTGTAATCCCTCTCAAGGACCCGCTTGCGAAAAAATGGTGCTGAATTTTACTGTAGATTGGCAAAAATGTACAGTTTCATGATGCAGTCCGGCTATTTTGAGGGCTTCTTTGAATATCCCTAAATCACAGTCCATTACATGACAATCACATGGCATAATTGAAGGGCTGATTTTTGTCAACCTTGAGTAAAATTTAGCGACATAATTTTGGAAATGGATCATTGGAAGGGATTACAAAGTTTTGCCACTGCAAAAAGTACAAAATGTAGAGGACAAATTAAATGGTTTTCACAAGCTTTAAGATAAATGCGAACCTGACTTTAAGTTAACAAAACTCACAATGTATTTGTTTTTTTTTTTTTTTTTTTTTTTTTTTTTTTTTTTTTTTTTTTTAAATTTCTCATTTTTGTGGTGGCAAATCAGTAAGATCCCTTCCAGGGACCCGAAATAATGCTGAAATTTACTGTAGATTGGCAAGAATGTTCGATTATACGGTGCGATTCGGTTATTTTGAGGGCTTCATCGGATATCCCTTCATCACAGTATAAACTAAACGGGGCTTTCTAAGGAAATTGGCTGTTTAAGAAGGGACTTTCAATACGACTCTGGGTAAATTCTGTTGTTCAATGCAATTAGAATATTGTAACGCTTCCGTAAGGTCACATCTGAACCACAGGGGAAATTTATCGGTGAATGAGATGAGATTTTAAAAAAAAATTTTTGGTGAATGAGATGACACTGTAATCAAAGGAATAGTGTAAAGGTAGGGGAGTGATAAACTTACGGACATCATGTCTATACTCGTTATCAGATAATGAGAGATAAACTGCTAACATACCTGAAACAGAGAAAAATGAAAATCATGAAACAACTGTAGTACATATCAAGTCATAGGCTATCATAGACAAATCACTTTGAATCAATTAAAATAAAGTTCATTTATCACGGGTTAAGGTTCACTCAGGCTTCAATCAAGAGGATATTTTGATTCTCTACACATTAGATTTCCAAGCCGGATCGACTTGACCGGACTATCTCCTTTGGAGGAGTTATAAGACCGGTGCATACGAGCTTTCGATATTGGCCTGCATTCCGAGTTCAAGTCTCCCGCCATCGCGCCTTCAATTTCAGAGACGCAACGCGGACATCCATCAAACACGAATAGTTGTATCTCTGCGCCGTCATCAACGCACATCTTTTCTCTGGCTCTATTTCCATGTCGCGCTTGTTCCGGGGCGTTTGACATTTCTTCGAGTCTGGACTTATTAAAAAGGAGCTTGTCCGGGATTTCGGCTCCAAGAGTACGCGATAAATCACCACGTAATCTACCCACCTGATTTTGTCAGAATACTATTTCAAAACACAAGGTTTAATGACCCATTTCGACGTGAGCTCTGCGCTCCGTATGACTCTACCCTTTCCGCGGCTCATGTTGAGATAGATATACGCCCTGTAGCCAGAGGAGCGACATTTTGTACGCTCTTTTGCGGATTATCCGCGAGATCCTCTACGGTATCGCGACTTACGGAGCCTCGGGTGGACGGCGCACAGTGGACCGGGTCAATGGAGATGTTGCATGTGAGAGGAATTTGCGATTTGACTGTTGATTCTTATGTAAAAGTTCGCGAGAAACACGATATGGTGCTACTGGCTTTCTCTGAAATCAACTCCCAAGCTCAAAAAAAGCTCTCAAGTTGAGGCCAAAATGAAGGGGATATCCCACGCTATCCTCAGAGTCCACCTCTACATCAAAACAAACTCTCCATGCAAAGATAGGGAGCAAGTACATTAGCAGGGTTGCCGTGTTTTCAGTCTTACCGTCCCCAAATAAAGTGGCAGCCCCGTCAATGTATTTGCTCCCTATCTTTGCATGGAGAGTTTGTTTTGATGTAGAGGTGGACTCTCAAGATAGCGTGGGATATCCCCTCCATTTTGGCCTCAACTTGAGAGCTTTTTTGAGCTTGGGAGTTAATTTCAGAGAAAACCAGTGATACCATCGTGTTTCTCGCGAACTTTTACGTAAGAATCAACAGTCAAATCGCAAATTCCTCACACATGCAACATCTCCATTAGAGAGGTCAGACATGGAATTTTTTAGGAACTAAACTAGGAATTTTGATGTTTATTTCGTCGGATTTTCAATTCTAAGGGGTGTCTCTGAGAGGAAATTTCATGAGAAAACCAATGGAAACACTTTTAACATGTCAAAATTTTATAAAAACTGAGTTACACGTTTTTAAAGTTTCCAAATTTTGTCCGACCTCCCCTAGTGACCCAATCCACTGTGAGGCAGGCCGGACATCCTCGACTTAGACCAGAGTTCATAATCAAGATTAATCGTCGCTGCGTGCACCTCGAAGCGTTTTCGCGCGGAGACAATAATCGCCGATGACTCCTGGCTCCGGGAGGAGGGGGGTCGGATCTCCTCCATTTTTCTTCGGATCCAATTACGAATGAGTAATGGAGCGCGGTTTCCGGTTTCCGGGATCCCGCGGCTGCGCCCTGGATTTTTTGAGACCGCCGCCCCCGGAAGCACCGAGCCAAAGTTCCCACGATGCGTCGTTCTCCAGACGAAGGAACTTGTACATTTCAACGTTGCAAAATCGACTCAAATAAATCAAAAAATGCACGTAAGACATGGGAAAAAAGTGTTAAGGGTTAATTCCTAACATTGCGGTCTAACTTAATTTTTTGGATGATATAGTTGCCTTCCTGACACAAGGACATAGCTACATTAATTTGGTCATGACAGCTGTCCACACTATACTCAATGAATTCCCTGGCCCGTCTCCACACGTAGTTACGCCCTCGTGTCAGCCAAGCGACGATATGGGCATTCCCAATTAAGTGTGGTAATACCACATGTGAATTATCATCCAGCGAACCGATTATTGAAAATGATAAACGAAGCTATAGACAGAGAGAGCAAAAGGCATATG